CTTCCCCCCCCATTGGCCACACTGTTCTTACTCATGGTATCTCAGGAGGGGGCACCCTGTTCCTCTCTGTACATGTAAAGTTCCAGTATGTTCCACATTCTGTTGCTGCCCTCTCTACAACGACAGCAGAATTTACCTCCAACCGTCTCGTTCTACTACTCTTCTTTACCTTCCCTTTTTTGGAGGGGACCCTCCTTTAACCCTGACTCTCTCATTGACTTCTTGAAAATGACCATTTACTCCACAAACTCTGATGCTTTTTCGCACTCCCTCAGACCTTTTGGTTCAGTCTTTGCTGCCCTTTCCCCTTTTCACATCCCTCCCCCGCGTTATCCAAACCCCTGTTGCTCTCCATCTCCCTTTTTTGCCACCTGTCCCCTCACTTCCTTCCTCCCCTGCAGCGCTGTATGCCCTTGTGGCTTACGTTTTTTTTTTGAATAAAAATTTTTTTTCCGCAGTAGGTCACGGGTTTTTTCAAACCAAGAACACAAGTCTTCACGGGTGATGGTTGTATTTTTCTTCAATGCAAACCCTTCACATTACTGACTCCTTCAGATGTAAGTAAAGTGGGCTTTTCTCGTTTTTTGGGGAAAGCAGTAAACACTGAAGGTCAGTACAGGCTTGGGAATGAGGGAAAAAATTTTTGATTGGAGATTGGGTTTATGCTTGATCTAAGTAATCACAAGTGTGATCATGGAGTGTTTTTAGGTAAAGGGGAAAGTTTCAGGGTTAAAAAAGGGGTAGGGCAACCCCAAAATAGTTGGAACAAAGCCCCCCCCGGAGACGGGCCCCCCCCCCCAAATGAGGGAAGGAGACACACGAAGAATTGTGGTACATGTCTGGATGGGATTTTTTACTGGTACTTTTGAGGAATTTAAATTAGAAAAAAAAAAAATCTCTATGGTTTTTAAAAAGCTTTTGGTATTTTCCACATTAAATTTACCATCGCAGACATCCAAAAATTATACATTTGTGGGAAAGCGCTAAACCGCAGGGGTTGCATATAACTGGGGGAAGAAGTTAAGTTTAGCCCAAAGGGAGTAAACACCAATCTAGCCTTGGATCAAGATCATCTCCGGGGGTCAAAGCTCCCTGAAGGGGTCCCCCAAAATGATGGTTATTTAATGGTGTGGGGGGTTTTTAACACAAAAGGGGCATACAGCCCTAATTATTTTTAAATCAAGGAAAAGCTAAAAACCCTAGGATTATACAGGCCTGTGGGGGGGGTGGGGGTATTCAGGGGAAATGGAGCACAGATCCAGTTTTTTCCCGCAAACCCCTCACCACATCAAAGGGAAACCTTTCCCTTTGGGGGGACGTCTCTAGAGAATAGGAATTTTCCCTTTCCATAGGCGAGGGGTCTTTCCCAATTTCTTTGGTTCAAGAATTATCAGGGGAGGTATGGGTTTGTCAGGAAAAAGGAAAGGGGTTTCCCCGACGTGTGTCTTAGTCAAAATGACTAACGGGGCTTTTGGTCATTGGGTCAAACCTTCCCTGGGTTACCTCCCACCCTTTTAAAAATCATGGTTTTGTGTATAACCATTTTATATGTGAGAACCAAGATCTCCCTTGAAAGCCCTAAAAGCTATGGACAAATTTCAGTAATTATAATTTTTATTCATTAATTTTCTATTTTCCTTGATATCCGTTCATTAATTTGAATACAGTGAATACATTTATTACGTGTAATTAAAAATAGCTGAAGTAATTTTAACTATTGATGAAATTCTGTCACAAGTTCACATTTAAAAACTGCCTTTTTTTCCAGTTGGTTATTGACAACCTGGAGTCATGGAAGGAGAAACACCACTGAAGTGAGCAGTTATTCTTTTCCTATATAAAAGTTCTATACCTGATAGGGAATAAAGTATGATCCAATTCCTCGTATAAAGAATCCTTCATCAGTCACGGCTT